TTTCTTAACCAAGCGTGGTCACGAGAATTTAGGTAGCAGCTCGCGGCGTGCACACAGCGATATCACCGCGATACTGCCGTGTGAATTAATTGTCATGATCAGTCAAACTAATTGATTTATTTATTCATTTTAGGTCTCAAGAATGGAACGTGTATGCAGCTCTTGCTCTAGAGCCGCAAGAAGGCACCATCAACAGGATTTAATGCTCGCATCAGGGCCTACAAGGTGTCTGAGCCTTCAGTGTGTCCGGCGCTACCCCGCACCCTCCAGGGCAATCGAGCCTCACAGATGTTTGATGCCTCCAGGGTGTGCGATTATTGCCTTTACGCTCTATCTAGAGCTACATCACTGTAGGGCGTCCTCCAGTGCGTCCGCGCCTTCAGGATACCTGATGCTACACCCCACCCTCTAGGGTGTTCGAGCCTCCAGGGTGTCCGATGTCTCCAGGATGTCCGACGTTACCCTATACCCTCTAGAGCTCCGTCACTATAGCCCTAATCATTTTTAACTAAGCCAAACCAGTTTATCCTGAAGCGTATATTATTAATTTTAGGCTCATCTAGTTCTGCCTAGGATTAACTAGTTTCTCCTATCGGCCATCGGACGGACCGGTTTAGCCTAGTCTATACCGGTTTATCCAATCGCATGTAGGATAAACTACTTTGGCGTAGGAAAACTAGTAAATCCTAAAATCGGGTTTGGCCGGTAACATATATACAGGGTGGACCATACAGTGACGTCAATAAAAGAAATTATATTCCTCATATCTTGGGGTATTCGAAAATACCCCATGTATGTTCCGCGATTATTTTTAGTTTCTAAGTTATTCAACTTTTAAAGTTGTATGGGAAAACTCGAATGACAGACATTTTTTCTGGCCGTGTGGTGCCGGCAGAGTAGAATAACACCACCCCTCTCTTCCCGTGGGGTCGTAAGAGGCGACCTAGGATAAATCCAACCAAGCTGATCAGGGTCCTGGAGAAGGAAAACTCCAGACACAAATCCGGAACGGAACTCGTCAGGCACGATTGACTGGTGATAAATTGTGCGGCAGACTCCTGCAGCCGACCTAGCTCCGGACGTATCGACCCGTCGTTCCTGTGGAGTCAGCCAGGAAGGCCGAGGGGGTGGCGCACGTCCTGGGCAGCCCTGCGTTTTCCATAATTGCGTCTCAGGCAACGCAGTGTCTGTTGAGAGCGTGCAAAAAGCGTATCGGCTTATACAGCCATGAAAAATCTTGCCTCAGACACTGAATAAATCGTCTGACTCAGACGTATGAGGCCAGTGATGATCACATGACGTGTTTTGTATTAGAATTGGAATCTACTGTTTTGATATTATTTTATTATCCTTTGAGATTGTTGACAGTAGCAACCCTGGCTATGTAACAAAATGACAATCATAAAAATCCTTAATAGGATCGAGTGAACCTTCTATAAACTCTATTTTGTGGTTGTATCTCTCTATTGTATCTCTTTATTTTGATTACGCGCACCGCGCACGCATACGCTGACAGTTTGCGGCTTCTCATACGATCCCATTCAATACAATGTCATCTCTATGCGCGTGATGACGTGCACGCAAACGGAGGCGGTGTGTTGCACGCTTATGTTCCTCTGAGATAAACAAAGCTGTGTGTACGTTTTGAGTCCCCGCGGCCCTCGCGCCGTCTAGGGTTTGTGTTCGTGATGTGATTGAGCTACTTACAAGATGATACCTGCAGTGTACCTAAGTGTAACTGTAATAAATCCAATCCAGTATACCTCTTATAATAACAAGTTATTACATACAAGTACACTGCGGGCACCACCGTCCTGTATGAAAGAAGCTCTCTTAAGGTGGATCGTTTTCCATACAAAAGTTAAGTGGAGTTACGTCTTCAAATGAGACAAAAATATCTATGATAAAAATACTTGATGGGAAGTCCCGTGCTTCTATAACATTTTCGCAAAATAAAACAAATAATTTTTTAACCATCACATTTCTCTGTAAAAACCGTTTCGCCACTTTATGAACATAGATGGAGCTCATCATCATTGGCCTCATACGTCTGTGACAGACGATTTATTCAGTGTCGGAGGAAAGATTTTTCATGGCTGTAGCGGTGCGGGAGCGGCATGGCTTTTTGCACGCTCCCTACAGACACTTCGTTGCCTGGGACGCAATTATGGAAAACGCAGGGCTGCCCAGGACCTGCGCCACCCTCGGCCTTCCTGGCTGACACCACAGGAACGACGGGTCGATACGTGCGGAGCCAGGTCGGCTGCAGGAGTCTGCCGCACGATTTATTACCAGTCACTCGCGCCTGACGGAGACCCCGTTCCGGGTTTGTGTGTGGCGTTTTCCTTCTCCAGGACCCTGATCCATAGATTTTTACCATAAGCAGTTTTGCGACTAATTTACGTGTGCCTTCATCATTTCACATAAAGTGTTTTTGATAAAATTGTTGTTTAGCTCATGTTTAACTCGATTGAAGTTCAGATTTTCGTTTGTATGACGTAACGATGCGCCTTAAGTCTTTTGCTTTGTCTGGAAATAAGGTTTACCGAGTCTCTCCTAGGGACCAAGTGTCCTCAGTTTCTCCTATGCCGTTTTCTAGACGTTTTATACTGCTATTTGTCAACATTTTATATTTGTATAACCAGGCACACAGCAGGTACATTATACAAAAAAAAGTAAAATAAGGTGCGCGTTAGGACCGCGGGTGTTCAAATTAGGATTGAGCTGCTTTCCTACAGGATGGTAGTACCTGCAGTTTACCTCAGTATACCTGAAATGAAATCCAGTGAACCTCTATAGTTATTTAATGAAATATGGACACTCGCCATTCTAACGTTAGGATGGTAGGTGTTCATTTTATTTTGGTCTGTAGATACTTATTTCGCTTTTCGTTTTTTGTAATTTTGTGTACCTGCAGTGTACCTTAGTACATAAAAATCGTCGTACCAGTAAAAAACGTGTACATTATTACAACATATTGATGATTATTTTATATTTTTTTGTACAGGTACGCTGTAGGTACACAATATTACAAAAAATGAAAAGTGAAATAAGTATCTACAAACCGAAGTAAAAATGAACACCCGCCATCCTAACGTTAGAATGGCGGGTGCATATTTCATCAAATAACTTTTTATTAAAAGAGGTACACTGAATTTCATTGCAAGTCCACTAAGGTACTCGTACACTGTAGGTACACAAAATTACAAGAAACGAAAGTGAAATAAGTATCTACAGACCAAAATAAAAATGAACACCTGCCATCCTAACGTTAGAATGGTACCACAATCATGCAGAAAGTAGCTCAATCCTATCATGAACACTTTTGGACATCGTGGTCCTGACGCACACCCTTCTAGGTACCTACACCTATACAATGGTGGATAGTACTTCTATTTTATTCGATAAAAAAAGTAGGTAGGTACTTTTCGACTCTATTATTGCATATTGTCATAGAATGATAATAGAATGGAGTATACCAGCTATTGCTTTATTTTATAAATTATCTAGGTGTAAGGAAAATAGCATAAGTAATCTAAGAAACCTTAATTGAATGATAATTTTAATTAAAAATATCTTTGCACTACTTGCTGAACTTATTTATTATCCACCTCTTTCGATGTACCTAAATCATACTTACTTAAAATCACACCTCTTTCCCGGAGGGGTAGGCAAAGATTACATGCTTCCACTTGCTGATACACCTCTTTCGCTTCCTCAACATTCATGAACCTTTACATACCTACTCGTCGGTTTAGGTACTTACTCTTGACCTGACCTTTTTCTGACATCCCCAATTTGATCCAGGTTCACGTAGGTCTTCTTTTGATTAGGATTGGCAAGCGCATTGCAAGGTGTTGTATTAACAGAGAACGCTGCAGCTTATTCCCTGGATTCATCCCTTAGTCGGTTTTTACGACACCTACGGGTAGATATGGTATGATGCTATTCTAAGCTGGCAGCACACAGCCTAAATGGTATTATTCATGTGTTAAATGACCTACAGGCACGGTGTGGTCTGGTCAAACTTCAGTAAGATACTCTGCTGTGAGCTGATTCCACAGAGCACCAAAATGTCATTAAGGATTCATTTATCTAAGGCTGTTTCTAAGGAAATGTAACAAAACTTACTCTCAGGTATTAAATACCATACAAAATACTCGTATTATCGGTATTATCAATCAGTAACGTGGGCGACCATCACGATTACCTACATGTTGATCTTTAGATGTCAAAGTAATGACTAATGAGTCAAAAAGTGAGATTTGAAATATTGTGTTTTTTTAGGTTAGGTATGTATTATTTTTTTAAATAACTTTGAACTTCGGGTTTTAAAAGAAAAATAAAAACTGGAGGTAAATAAATGGTTGCTAATAAACCGTTTAGAACCACTTCGGCTTTGAGGCAATTTAGACGGTAGTCCTTTGTCACATGGGCAATCTTCTTTGACAGCGAATTCTTCGTATAGAGTACTGTTTTATTCTTTTTGGTAAGCAATTGAGCTAAATGGAATTAAAAAGCGTTTTTGCCACAACGGTTTCACTGCACTTAGAGCAGTGTAACTATCTTAAGTAGAACTAAGACCCTATTATCAAGACAAACACTGACTGGCGCTAGAGTCTAGGTTTAGTGTGTCACGGAGAACATTACCCCCGGTCGTGGTTTACTACTGTCTAACTGGTACTGTAGTGGCTATAGTAGCCTGGAGTGCCCGATTTGGCATAAGTTGCTGAATATACAAAAAATCGAGATAATTATGCAATATAGTAATGTATGCCGAAATTTTTTAAAGATAACTTTATTAAGTGGATGGTACAACAGGAAATGCGAAATGTGTGTCAATGAAACTACTTTATTGATATAACTTTTTAAGCACTTTCACACAATAGTTAATCGCTTAGTGACCTAAAAATTTATGGCGATAAAGTAACTATTTGCTCAAAATAATAATCTAATGAAACTCTCTTAAATTGAAAAGGAAAAAAATTAAAATTCGCTATCGACCGCCGGGACTCGAACCCGGGACAGTGGATCAACTTTCCACCGCTCTGCCAAATGAGCTACGTGTGCCTCGCGGACCGTGGTGAATTTCTGAACCTCTTCATGCACTCCATCTCGAAGCAATGATCCAGCGACAATCAAACTCTTTTTTGAGCCTCAGATGTTACTAGCAAGTGCCAGCCAGCTCGAAATAGGTAGTATCTGTTTATACTTATAATTATAATTAGTACCTTTGTATAGGTATGTTGAACTGTAAAATAGTATATGTTTATACTTCCAATGCACACATAGTAGGTATGTGTATGTTGAACTGTAATATAAACCAAAGACTTTGAAGATGAAAGCGAATCTACATTAACCAGTTAAGTCAATTTGAAATTTGGAATTAATTGTAGCATCATCCCCTCTTCCACCGGCACAAATTAAATTTTGACACAGAGTGGAGCTGGCATTACCGGCTGAAATATCTTCACGCAATAATTTATACAAATTTAAAACAGAGGACTAGTAAGTAAATTAAATAAGCCGCATGATGACGGTTTAGAATAGGATCACTCTATTTTTTCCCATGGGCGGCGAAAAAGCGACTAAGGCAAATCCAAATCCAGGGAAAGGACGGGTAGCACCGTTGTCTGTGAATCAAACATAAACTGCGCTCGCCAATCCGCCTGCCAAGCGTGGTGACTAGCAATCAAATCAAAGAAACACACAGAAGAAACTAAATAACTGTCAATTATACACTTCATTGGTGTCAAACTAATTTTACTTGCACTATTTTGTCATAAAATTCATGCTATTAGTGATTTCTTATACTAAAATCATAGTTTTATCGAACCTACTACCTACCTACCAACGTATTAAAAGAGTAAACACTACACCATGAACAAACAGAACCACTTAATTGCAATTTACTTGACTTATTAATGTAAATGCCTTAACTGAATTAAGATGAAATTTGACACAAAAGATTTCGAATCGAATTTCTCAGACTAAAAGCTTAAAAGGGTGCAAGGGGTACGTACACTATCGCCAGTAAATCCACTTACCTCTTTAAGGGACGAACTTATAATGGTTTTTATACAATACTAAGAAAAAGCAGTATAAATTAGCCTTAAATGCATATTTTCTGTCGATATTAAAAGTTTCAGTACTAGCAGAAGCGCTTTGAGAGATCTTCATTCGAAAACATAGAGTTTTTATGAATAACCAATTTAAAAACTTACCATAATAATATCACGTCTATACTTTGGGCAGAGCGTAAACGGCTATAAAAAACGGCTATTTACACCACGTCTAACAACAGTTTGAGAGTCATTCAGAAGACTTTGTATCACACCACAGTACGACAGATTGTCAGACTATCGCCTAAAATTGCAATACAAATCAACGCTAAAATATCTTAGACGCTTCTTACGACACTAAATCAATATGAATTGATTCCTTAGTTGAATACCTTACCTACTCGAAATGCTGCTGATAGTACAAAAGTGTACCTTAGCATGAACTAAATGTTAATTGCTTGTGATAACATTTAGCATTCATTTTGGATGAAGACATGAATTAAAATTGAAATTCAAATGGATTTCAAGATAACTGGTGAGAAATTATCCCGAAAATTGGATTACATAAGCACTTATAGAGTCAGACAGATCACTTTAGTATTACGTGGTACTTAGTCGAGAATCTTGAGAACTCTGACATCAGGGTTTATCGGGTAGTTTGGTGACTTGGTGTCCCAAAGTTTTTCATATTGTGTGGTTATCCATTTAAAGGACTATCCAATAGTAAAAATATTTAGTCTTAAATTGCTTAAGATAGTGGTCGAAACGTCGAATTAACAAAAAAAACCTAAATAAACGAAACTTAAATTCGTTTAAATTGTTTCATTGTAATGAGTGATAGTTGTGCAAACAAAATTAAATATTAAAGTCTCTCTTAACTCCAGCCAATCCTCTGTTTTCTCAGCCAATATAAAGTCACTAGAAAAAATATTTGAATGAATAACATGAAAGTGAAATTGAATTTTAATTTACTTTTACTGAGTTCAGTCACGTCTTAATTTGAATACACTTACAGGTAATGTCTTACGTGTTTAGGGATAAAGAGCTGTAATTGGGAAAATAATCGTTGAAGATAGTGTTTATTACTATAACCTACAGTCTACATTTTTCACTTAACAATGAGAGTAAAGGAGGTATGTGAGTTATTGTTACGCGACCTCGAACAGAAATTAAATAAAGCACTAGTATATGACTCCCTATTTAAAAGATCTATTTTATCTTATTTTTCATTCGGTTAATCATGAATAAGCATAAGAAAATAGTTAGAGGTCTGCTAATTATAAGTGTCGCACTATTCTGTCAAGTGTAGCACTCTGATGTCAGGTTCCATCGGATCGTTGGACGACTTAATGTCCCACACGAGCGAGGAGAAAGAAAGAAAGAGAGAGAGAGAGAAAGCGTCTGATTCCAGCTTATCAAAAGGTTTAGGTAGGTTATAAACATTTTATCAATGTCATTAACATATAAGAATTTTCGGAAACAGTACTGATGCCGAAGGTCGCAGGTTCAAATCCTGCATGCAGTAAAAAATTTCACGAAAAGTATTAAACAACTGTACCGCTAATCGAAACCTAAAAGACATTATTGAGAGAGTGGCAACATTGCTCTATTCCATTAGGCCGGTGGCTAATATACCTGTTCCTTTCTATCCTACGTCCTCCGCATATCCTCTTTCTCTTTCCCTCATTTCGGTTAGTTCAGTTTACTTCCACCAGAGGGCACCAGGCAGGCACGGAGCGGATCAGCGAGTGCGACTAGCTTCATTGGTGCTTTGTTCGTCTTCCAAGACGGTCGTGGCAAGAAAAGACTGAAACTTTTCTAAGTTTCAAAAGTTAACGGAACTTACCGTTCGTACAAACTTCTTCCTAAGAAATTTAGGAAATTTCTAAAACTGTAATAAGTCTCCTACCTGTTCCTTTCTTGAGGTAAATACTATTTCGTATTTTTTGTAATTTTTATTTTACCTAAAAATGTCTTTTGAAGATGAAAATGCTGATATACGTGGAAGCGTAAGTATAGAAACGTACATTTGAACGAATTGTACTAAAAACAGATTTCTGTTTCAGCAAAACAACATCGTGCGTGACTAAGGTTGTAAGAAGTTTTTTGTTCCCAACGCCACGTGGCGAGCAAAATGGAGCAACCATCTGGCGCCAAAAAACGGCCGGGCTCACCCACTGCTCATGACCCGGACAAACGGCAGCGTACGGATGCCGAATTGTTTCAAAATTTGGTGAACAAGGTTAGTCAAATTGAAAATTGTCTACAAAATTTCATGCACCCAAATAACCCTGGTAACGCAGATCGAGGTCTAATCGCAGACCCAAATCCTCCTAGCGATAACGCGGATGCTATCTCGCTTCATGCGGATTATGATTTGCATGAATATCTTAATGAAAATATTAATAACTTCTATTCAGAACAAAATTTAACAGAAGGTAATGTTGCCGAACCTTACGTTCGTGAGCCTTATGTTTGCGAACCAGACGCTAATGCTACCGTTCCCCTGACGAGCACAACGCCGCGGGGCAAACTGTTCTGCCCCCCCAGCAAACTGTTCTGCCCCCCCGGCAAACTGTTCTGCCCCTGCAGCAAGCGCCTCTGCCCCTCCGGCAGGCGCCGGCAATTATTCGGCAAATAACCAAAACACACCCTTACCGCCCAAGACGGCAGATAGGTTATTTAGCGTCAACACTACTCTGAAAGAGCCGACCATGCCAACAACGGACCCAGTTCGTTTAGAACGGCTTAATTCTATACAACACTTTGATTCCTCAAATTGGGTAGACGTTCGTTATTACGAAACTCAAAAACGTTTTTGCTCCACACCTGGGTTTACTGACTTAGAATGCAACAATGAGATTAAGCCCTATGACAGAAATAACTTCCTTGCAATAACCGAAAAGGGCTTCGCAGCCATTACACAAGGGCTGCTAAAACAACAAGAAGCTCTCGAGGGAGGTTTTCGCGATCTGTTAACCTGGTTAAGAACCACTGAAATTGTCGAAATGCAGACACTAGAAGATAAAATAAAAGAAATATTTTCTGGTGATTTCCAAAAAATCTCTAATGATTTACTCCAAATGACTTGCGGACACCGTGCCGACCTAATTCAGCAAAGACGCGACGCGATTTTACGCTCAGTCAAAGATAAATTTATCAGAGCAAACATTCGAAAAATCCTCCTCGAATAGTTTCCTGTTCAATCCAGATTCCTTACGTCAGCAATTGAGAAAAGTGGGGTATAAGTAAAATATTTTACCCCGCTAAGCCACAATCGGCTACAGCAAAGACTAAAACACCCGCACAAACCTCAAATGCTAGCGAAGCTTTCAAAGTTCTATGCCCCATCAAAGCATGATCCGTCCAATGGCGCCAGCGCATGGCATGCCTTTGTATCCATTCCCTCCTGCGCAAGGAGCCTTACCTTTCCAACCATACAACCACCAATTTACGCATCAGCCCTTTGGCAACGCACGTATGCCTACACAGGGAAAGTTTCGTCCACGCGGTCCGCGACCCGTTGATAACTCAATTAGATCAAAGTCTTCATCCCGCAGGGGTAAGACAAAACGCGGATACTGACTCTCAGTTTCAAGCAGGGTGCCTGAATCTCTTTTATCACAACTGGAAAAATTTGGGAGCCCCAATCACTATACTAAAAATAATCAAAAATGGATATCGAATCCCATTTCTAACCTTACCCCACTGCACACGCCAAACCCTTATCGCATGAATATGGGAATTTCTTCCTCGGAGGAAATGAAAACCCAAATCCAGTCATTAAAGCAGATGGGAGTTCTAGAAACTGCTCGACTCTCACCCAGTTTTCTATCGAACCTTTTCCTCAGGGAGAAGTCCGACGGAGCTCATCGTCCCATATTCAATTTACAGCGCCTAAACCAGTACATAATTATAACCAAGTTCAGACTGATAAACCAATTCAAAGTAGCGACATTCCTGCAACCAAAGGATTGGCTTGCCAAAATAGATTTATCGAACGCTTACT